TGCAGGACTGTAAAGAAAGGCAGTTAATAAGTAACATTCTCAAAACAATAAAATCTGGAATAAAGTAATAGGGGTGTGTTTTAATTAATATATTTATCAACCATCAGTATCTAGTTTAATGCCAACAGTGCTTTCAAAATATTGGTTAGCATAAATGGTGTTCAGGATCTGCAACTAGTATATTGTGATACGGTAGTATTTTTTATTTCTGCTGGTGACAAGTACTACTGATATTAAACAGACTTCTTCCTTGCTATATGCAGAATTAATGATGATGTAAATTTCATTTAGAAATTAGTGAAAATAAAGATGTAGCAGTTTTTTCTTCCATGGCATTGCCTTCTGACTTCATGTTCTAATTTGATTTAATAATTCAGATATTCTAAGACCACATTTTACTTTACTTTGGTTGGAAGCCCATTATGGGGTTACTTGTAATTTTTACTGATGGCTTTATTTTACCTGATGCTCATTAGAAGATGAATATTTACTTTGGCTATTGAATTGGGGTAGGTAGGGGAAGGTGGAGAGAAGGACACCAAATTGGTTGAACATTCCTGTTTTTAAGTAGGTGGAAAATACTTTATTTTTTAATAAATCAAGATAAATTTTATTGAACTATGACAAGAGTTTCAGTTTTTCTGATTTTTTTGCATTGTTCCTTATACTGAATATTTGGGAAAACTTCAAGGAAATCTCTGTTTTGCACATCTGGAGCTGTCAATAAAACATAAACTCAGGCTTCTGAATGTTCATGGGGGCTGTAGGTAAATCTGTCTTTTGATACATTTACCACATGTATTGTTATCAGGCAAAAATTGGAGAATTTGGTTAGTTATTGCTTTACCATGTATGCAGAGGTGCTTAAACTAGTCATATTGGTAACCATTTTCATGCGAAGGGGTCAGGTTGTTATGTCTCATCTCTGTTTCCAAGAGGAATGATTACTGGAGTGGGCGGCTTTGGAAAAAGGCCAACATTACCGGACTGTTTTCTCTAAGGGAAAAGGTTTAACTTTTAACTTTTATTTCATCTGGCCCATAAATGCAGTGAATATTTTGTGAAACCAAAGTCTCATTTATTAACTTTTTATAGATACAAATATTTATATAAATATCAAATTCTTTAATATATGTAAAACATTCTCTTTGGAAAAAATAAAATTTTGTGGTATAGAGCAAAAGATGATAAACTAATTTAGTTTTATTACTAGAAAAAAAGAACACCCTAATCTAATAAAGTTATTGGGTAAAGTATTTTCTGTGCATATTTACTCTTCAGGAAGCATTTAAATGAATTATTGGGCAAAAACCGTCTTCTCAGGTAGATGCAGTGATCCTCATTTTGCAGTTGAGGAAATTGAGGCGTAAAGAAACTAAAGAATTTGTCCAAGTCACAGAGCTGGTGGTTGGAAAGCCATGTCTTGTCTCCATGTGTTTCTGAATCCAAAGTCTGTATTTGTGACTTTAGTAGCCAAATCTTTAAGTCTAGAATATGGTTATTATGAACCATATGGGCCAGGGTGGATAGGCGGGGACGGAGAGGTGTACTCATGTGTGTGTGTTCGTGCATGGCTCCCCATTTTCTTATTCTTTACCGTCATTTTTCATCATTCAGTGTCTGTTTCTTTGTCCGCCTCTCCCTCCCTCCCTCTCTTCCTGCCTGCCTCTCAGGATCTGTGCTAGGTGGATGCTCTAACCTGATATGTCCTTAGCCTTCCTATCTGTATATCTTTTTTGTTTTTTGGTACTGGGGCTCAAACTCAGGACCTTGTGTGCCACTGAGCTAAATCCCCGGCCCTGATCCACTCAGCTGCCCTCAAGTGTTGAACTTGACATACTAATTTTTATTGTTTATTTTACATGTTAAAAGGTTTTATTTCTACTATTTATTTGTAATTGTCAACGTAGAGAGAAGGTAATAAACTTACATTTCTTTATATTAAATCATTTTTACCTTTTGAACTTATGATTCTGGGCAATAAAGTTATACTAACTACACTCTGAGTACTCAGAAGTAATTATTTTGAAATTCTAACACAGTAATGTAACTTGTTCTTTTAAGATTGCCACAGGGTGGAGAGGAAGGAGGCATGCAAGGGCAGATAGTAGTCAGCAGGTATTTATTTAGTACTTACTGGCTGTGTGAAGCTGGCAAGTACTGGAGGACACAGGTACTGTTGTCTTCCCCAGTCCTTGCAGAGTTGTAGTTTGGGGAAGGGAAGATTCTCTTACTCCTTGGCAGGAATGGAGATTGCAGCATGGAGTTAATATAGGAAAGGGAAAACCAGGGAGATGAACGGAAGGAGTCACTTCTGCTGCTGCTGCCTTCTCAGTCTTTGGATATGGTCCAAAGTGAGAAGCTACACCGACCTCCAGTCCGTCCCAGGCTCAGTGTGGTAGAGACTGTCCGGAAGATGAAAGGGGCTGTATGTGGCTGGCTGACATATGACTTGAATCCCGGATCTGTAGAGCCCCATGGACTCCCACCACGCTCTCCAGAAGCGTCAGGTCATTCGTACAGGGGGTTGGTGGTCTAGTGAGACTAGGAGGTGCCAGCTGGCTAGCACTGGTCAATCCTTGGGCTTTCAGAAGGCGATGTTATGTCCACCACCTTTTGTTGGGACAGAGAAAGAAGCCTTTTTTGCTCTTGTGTGGGAGGTGCCTGTATCTGTTCACACTAAAGAAATTAGCCATTTGGAAGGGTCTGTCTTAGACCAGCGTTTCCCACTCTGCTCTCCTCTTTCTTTGTGCTAATGGTTTGAGGGATTTCTTTTCAGTTTGGCACCAGTTGCATCTGATTCTGTTTTTCTTGGTGTGGTCATTACTTCATTGGCTGCCAGTGCCATGCGTTTGACCCTCCTTTGCCTGTCCCTCTGGGCAAGAAGCTGAATGCTGTGTTTTTCTTGCTTTGCCCACTCATCATAGCTGCCACTTGTGAGCCAGCTGTGTATGGGGCAGCAGCTGCAGGGTGTGGAAGCTGGGTGCCAGGCTCTTTTCTGAGGGCAGAAATTAGAGTGGCTCCCTCAGATGGTACTGGACGTACCACTGCAGAACCCCACTGACCGTTCAGATCAGTGGTCCCTGCAGCTGGGACAACTAGGAATGTGACAGTGGCCTGTGGTCTGGTGGCTCTTTATGGAGAGGTTTGAATGTAGACTGTGTTAGGACAGAGCCCTGCACACCTTGCACCCTTGTGAACGGTGGAGGTCCACATCACTCTGCTTTCACAGCATCCTGCTGTTCCTGCTCTTTAGTAGGGCAAGGTCACGCTCTGCTGTACAGTTCAATATATTATAGTGACAGCAGGCTCTCCTTACTTCCTGTGTAATAACATTTTGCTTGTGTTGTATAGTTACACAAAATCCTGTTTAAGCACAGATATGATACATTATTTGGTATAGTTAGAATGAATCAAGCTTTTTTAAAGTCAATTATTTCAATCAGTTTATTGCATCTCAAAAGTGTACTTCTTTAATAACAGGGTGAGCGAACTTCAATAATGAACTTGAATTCAAAATGTAGAAGAACATGAATGGACAATATATAAATATAGACAAAAACTTAACATATAAAATGTTCCTTGTGGGGGTTTTTGCTTATAGCTTTGAAACATTTAATATCCATAAAATGAAATAAGTCACACGTATAAATACTGAATATTTTCTCTGGTGTGAAAAACTATAATTGTACATAAGATCCTAATGGCATAATTGACAATGTGAAATAGGAAGAAAAGGGCTAAAGGTGTAGGGAAAGTGGGAAGGGTAGGGGAAAGGAAATAAGGGAAAAGAAAAAAAATGAGAAAATGGAAATAATGTTTTTGTAAATAGGGAAGGAAGGAGGGGGTGAAGGGGAGAGCAGGGACAAGGGGAAAAAGTGAGAACCAAGACCTGTCATGTAAAGGTACAAGATCCCAATGAAGAATGTAACTGTACTGTATACCTAAAATGTACCAATAAACTCAATGAGAAAAAAAATGATTTAATATCCTTAGATGTTTTGACCACGGTGCTTCAGATTTGGCCTTTTGTCGTTATAAGGTGTTATAGTGGTTGCCTGTTGTGTTTTCTGATAGCTTCCTCAAAGAGCAGAAATGAGGTTCAAGTGAAACAGCTCTGTATGATTGTATTCCCATTTGGAATGAAGTTTAAAAGACAGAAGGATGTTGTATAAAGACAAGGAAGGAAGTACTATTTCATCTCGGCAGTACCTCTCCTTAGCATGCCGAAGTTGCAGGGGAGAGAGGCTAGGGAGGAAGAGGAGTTGGCTTTAGAATTTTTGATTATTGTACTTGATAGATGCATATAAATGTTCAGCTGCCCATTTTTAGTACACATTTTATCCTTTAGGAGTAGAAACCTACTGTGAAGAACTCTCAGTTCATTGTCCACAGGGGTTATTCACTGGCATTTTATAGAGTAGAAGTTGTATGTAGATAGATCGTGTCTCATGATTAGATTGATTTCAAATTCCAAGAAACTGTGATCCACTGAATTCACCTTAAAAAGTATTTAACAATTTTATTTAAATATATATATATACACACACATATACATATATACATACATACACACATATACATATATACATACATACATACACACATATACATATATATACATGCATACATACATACACATTTTGGGGGGGAGTGTACCAGGAATTGAACTCAGGACCTCATGCTTGGCAGGCAGGCGCTGTGCCACCAACTTACATCCCTGGCCTTACAAATTTTTATTTTTAACATCACACCACACCCCTGCACACTCAGAAGCGAATCAGTAGTTAATCTAGTAGTATGCTAACGGGTGAAAGTGGCTCTGAGTTGGACTTTATAAAAGTGTATTTTATAGTTAAGTTACGAAATATAAACTTTATTTCTGGAATTTTCTTATACTGTACCTTTTAAAATCGATGCATGTGAGTAATACATAATGAGATTTATTTTGGTGCATTGGTCTGGGATATTTCTGAACTAACCCCTTTTCCCTCTTGCAGAACTGGCTAGATCCTGCAAAAGAAATAAAGAGACAGCTGAGAAGTGAGTATTTAAATAATCATACCATGAAGTTGTTATTTTTACATCTATTTCCATCTTTTAATAAGATTTATAGGTTACAGCCTAGAGTAACAAGTAAGATGACAATAGAAGGACCTATTCTGTCTTGCATTTATACCTCCTCCTACATTAATGCTTGATTGCGGTTGTTAATTTTGTGCACGCCTGAGGACTCCAACCCTTCAGAAGGCTCAAGACTCCCATTCCTTCCTGCTCCCTTACGGGGCCTCCCACTGTGAAGTAGCATGGTATCTTATTACTCCTTTTTGGAGAGAACGAGCGCTGATTTTCTGCAAGTTTCACTCTGTGCAAGACCGGACACCATTGCTGTGTTAGGTGCTTTGTGCTGCAGGCAGACTGGCCGCCTTGGTGTGTCCGCCTCATTGTGGAAGTGTGGAGCGCAGTTGAGCGGCGTCTGTGTGCACTGTTCTAGCTTCCCTGGCAGAGCACGCCCGGGTGAAGGAGAGCAGAGCAGTCTCTGCAGTTCTGTGCTCATTGCCTTCTCTGCTCCCGTTTGTCCCGCGTAGTGACATGGAGTCTGGGTTGTAGTTAGGCCTGCGTGTTCTCCGCAGAATCCCAGCATGGCCTCAGGCGTCCCGCTCCAGCGGCCTCGGCTTCCTCCGCGGACTTCCTCTGTGCATCGCCTTGCCTGTGATAGCTACGTCAAGAAATGGTAGCATCACACATCTCCGATAGGAGATTCAGATACTTAAAAGTTACTTCAGGGTCTGTGATGATGCAAGTGGGGAAGCAGGAAGCCAGGAGCAGCTGGAAAGTTCAGACAGGAGAACAAATTCCTTCTGAGAGTGCTGCTCCAGAGCTATTCAGGGAGAAGACGTCCTGAGAACTAACCTTCACATGCTCTGTACTGTTGACTGCTTCTCCCTTTTCATTATTTCTAATGTTGAGACCCTGGAACAAATTTCTGCTTTCATTCCTGTCCTTTCTACCTGCCGTCAGTCTCTCATTTTAGTGTCTCTTGTTTTATTTTCTTTTTCCTCTTTCACTATTAATCTTAGTCTCATCACTTCTTTCCATCTCTACTCTTTTATTCTGAGCATATACCTTCTTTTTCTAATCTCCTTTCTTTTCAGAATGTCTTTGATTGGTGTGACCAGTCTTCTTGGCTTGCCCAGAACCAAGGGTTTCCTAGGGTTGGGGTATTTGGTACTAAGGATGGAAAGGTCTCAGATGATCGGGCAGGTTGGACACCTTGTCTGATTATTTTTATTTATTATTTATTATTATTTAAAATTATTTACTATTCTTGGTTTTCTGGCATTCGTTGTCTTCCTGCCTCCTTCCCCTCTTATCTTTTTTGCATTTTTTATCTTGTTGTATCATCAATTTGTGTTTGTTTCGTGTTGGAAAGGGTTAGGGGAAGGGTTAGATAGACTCAAGAGCATTGTGCTAATGCTTTGGAAGGAACTGAATCAGAGAACTTTGGTAGATGCTCTGTAAATGCCTGGGTTCAGGAAGGTATGGGTGCTTGGTTCTTACTCATGCTCTGCACCCAGCCCTGCTGGGTGACCTGAGCAGAGAGAACAGGCCAGCTCCTCAGAGAGGATTGCTGATCCATCCGTTGAATTGTTTTCTGTGGCTTTTGTTTTGCCTCCTGTTTGGTTATGTATGTGTGCCACTTTTTTCAGAGTCATAGGTATTTCCTGTTGGAAATTTCTTTTGGAAGAAAAGTTTTTAAAGAGTTTCAAAGCTTTTGGGAAAAAAAACTTTCCAAAAACAGCTTTGAAAACTTTTGGAAGACAAGACTTGCTGATTATGAATCATGTTTTTATGTTTTGATTATTTGTGAAATATTATTTTTTAAAAGAGGTATTTCAGGACTTCTGCCCTTGTGGTTTGGCAAGAGGAGTAATAGTAACAAATAGCATCCACCTTTTTTCAGCTGGAGTCAGTTCTTTAAATAGTATCTTGTGTTATCTCCATCATGACAGTAGGTTTAGGAAATGAAGTTGTAGCTATTGTATTGGCCTCTTTCTGCTTCTGTTAGACGGTGAAGGAACTCAGTCTCTGCTGAGATTTTATGGTTACTTGACAGTTAATTAGCATTTACCAAAGATAAATGTTCATTGTTTGAATTATGTATGACAATCCACAAGGCTAATGGTTTCTATTTAAATTTTGCCTTAAAAGTATTTTCACACATGTACACAAAGAGTATATGTCTATAAGTTTGTATATAATGGATATGTAAACAGTTCATACTTAGGTATATTGTTTAGATAGCTAGGTAGAAGTATGATAGTATATAATTGAATTAAAAGTTTAACTTGAAAATTGCTAGTATTGTATTCTTACCATAAAAATCATAGGTATTTGTGGTAATGAATATGTTAACTTGAATTATTTATTCTAGAGTGTATACCTCTTTCAAACATGTTGTATACCATAAGTCTATGCAGTTTTGTTTATTTAAAAAAAAGCTTGGTACTAGGTATATAGTTCAGTAGTAGAGTATTTACTTAGCATTCATGAAGCCCTTGATTGCATTTTTGCTATCGAAAAAATAAATGTTTACCATTATTGGGCTTTGAAGTATATCTTAAATTACAAGTGTTCTATTAGGAACACATGCCTATAGTCAATAGTCAGGCAAACGGGGGCCATTACGAAATGAGAATCTTGTGATGACTCACTTGATTATGGATTAGCAGTCACATTAAAGACGTGTGTGCATGAACAGTGCATGGATATTTGACACTGGTAGCATAGTGTTACAGGCCAAGAAACAGCATCTCCTTATATTCAGAAAGATCCTTTTCCCCTTACTATGCTTTAAATGTGTAAAGCACAACTGAAATCTCTTTTGAGTTCAGCTTGACTGACTTTAATAGCAGAATAGTGAAGCATGGAGCCAGAAATCCAGAAGAAGAACATATGTGCACACAGTAGCCATTCAGTAGAGAGCTGTTGACTTTTGAGTGAGAGGAAAGGTCTTGTGCTAATGATGACAAGAGGGACAAAAGGACATGCTGAGTGGAAAACAGAATGCAAGAAACTTTGAAGGGCATAAATTAAAATTTCCCAATGCCTTCAAATATGTGTAGAATGGAGCAGCTTACAGAGAAACAGCTTTTTTAAAAATTTTATTTAAAAATACAATGAACTTAGAGTAGAACTTGAAGTTCAGATCAGTGAGATAATTTAGGTTTCTTTAGGAAAATAGCATCAGCCTTTTCCGTGAGTTTGTCTTCCTTTCTTTCAAGCAAACCAAAACATGAGATAGCAAAACATTAATGTATTTTAACGTTTAGTGTCATGTAAGATGTAGTTATTGGATATATTCATTCTTTATGCCAAATACAGCGAGGTATATGTAATACACAGGTATACTGTACTTTGTACAACTGTGAAACAATTTTATTATTTTAAAGTATTCCGAAGTTTTATTGCACTTTTGCTTCCTGGGATTTCTGAACAATTAGCCTATGAATCATTTCCTGCATGGCTACTGTGATCACTTGGTCATAGCCCCTCTTCCCTCAACAATGTAGAAATCCTGAGTCTTTTTAAATTTATTTTTAAAATTTTAAAATAAATTTATTGAAAATTTTAAAAAATTTTAGATAGTATTGAGCACTGGAGATCATGTACTTAAAATGAAATCTTATCTTGGAACTGTTGAAGTACCAGTAATTATTAATAAAACAGGTGAGCTTTTAATTGTGGTTTATTTATGTAATGATATTAGCTTCTTTTTAGTAAATTCTACAAACTGATTTATGATGGGATAAGTAAGGTATCAAGCAAATAGTATAGTATTATTTATTTGTAGCGTACTAAATAGCCATTCTGTTGATAAATAACCATGACATTTAATAATTGCAGATCTTCCCTGGCTATTCGCTTTTAATGTGAAATTTTATCCTCCTGATCCTTCTCAACTGACTGAAGACATCACCAGGTACTTTATATTTGTGTTTAAAAATGAATCTTTACTAAAAGAAAAAATATGAGAAAATGGAAATATGGAAGCACAGTTTTTGTAAATAGGGAAGGGGGGGTAAAGGGAGGCAGGGGTATGGGGAAAAATGAGAACCTGTCATTTATAGGTACAAGATCCCAAAAGAATGTAACTTTACTGTATACCTAAAAAGTACCAGTAAATTCAATGGAAAAAAAAAAGAATCTTAATGGCTTTCATTTATTTCTGTGCACTGGGAGCATGGTGGTAATTTCAGGATTGAAAAACCAAATCATTTATCAGTTAAGTTTTATAAGTTTCTTTGGAAATGAATATTTTCCCAAATAGTTGCCAGTTTCAGAAATTTTATTGGCTGTTTTAGTTTTTCCCTTTATATTTGAGTAATATTTTTGAAAATGATATTGCTGGCAACTTTGTTTCCTGTGTTCTACTTGAGAAATGTGCTCATATTTAGTGTGTCAACTTTTAGTAGTAAGGTGGTTTCTTTGTATAAACCATGTGTGCTGGTCTCACCAAGATGATACAAGTGCAAATAAATGAAAAAGAATTAAAAGTCAATTGAACTGGTAATTTTTTTGTCCTCCTATCTCCTCTCTTCCTCCCCGCAATCCTCCTGAAAACAGTCACAACATTGAGAACAGACTGTAGTAGGTAGAATCCGTAGCTGTTTCATTTTCATCTTCTCTGAAATTATGTGGCTGCAAGAATGTGTGCTTCAGTAGCAAAGAAAGGGTTCCGATTAGGAGCAAGAGTGGATTTAGTGACCCTGAAAGTGACTGAGGGGATGTTAACCAGGGACACAGGATCAGCAAGTGCCTGGACATATTAGCCCTGCCAGCTGGTTGGGTGAGAGGGTATTTCAGCCTTGTTAGGAACAGATGTAAAGAGTGGTTCTTATTCTCATGGTCAGGGAGAACTGTGTGCAGTGTGTGTACTTTCAGAAATCAAGAGGGCCTTGATGAAAAACTCTGCTTGCCTTTTGTTCCTGTGCATTTATGCTTTTCTGCTGGGCCAGTTTTGTTGTTAGACATGAAGTTGTTTCTGTAAATGCTGAAAAAAGTGTAATGTCCATTTGAGATAAGAATAATGGAGATTTCTTTATAGGATCAGAAAAATAGCAAACTTTTTCATTTTTTATTTTTTCTTCCTTTATTGCTTGTTACTTAATAGAAGTGTATACTACAGTACTGATTACTACTAACATACTAATTAAGTTCTGATTGAATAAACTTCAGCTAGTAAATAATAAGTAGCTTTTCAAACTGCACAACAAGCTGCTTAGAGTGCACTGACAGGTCAGCTGCACAGGACATGGAGCTTCACCCCAGGGGTGCTTTTCACAAAGTGTAGCACACTGTGGGGCCTTGTGACCTCATGTGCTCTCTGCAGTAATTATTAATATGCTTCTCTTTGTAGTAATTTGTTTGGTGGAGTGTCTTAGTCACTTTTCTTGTTGCTGGGACAAAATATATGACACATGACACTTACAAGTTAAAGGAGGAAAGGTTTATTTCAGCTCACAGTTTGTAAATGTTTCAAACCATAGTCAGCTAACTCGAAGGGAAGGTGACATGGCAGAGGGGAATCACGGAGGTGAAATTATTCATAGTAAGCAGGTAGGAGACAGTGAAGCAGCAAACAGCATCAGCAAGCCTGTCTTCCTTTGTTTTCCCTTATATTTCATCCAGGCTCTCCAAGCTTATTGATTGGTGCTACCCTACACAGGGTGGGGTCCTCAGTCTCAGTATCATACCCTTAATCCACATTCACACACCCTAATCCAGCTACCTTTGAAACTCCCCACCTATGAGCACAGGTGGCTTTGGGGGATATCTAGGTACAAGCCATAACAGGCATGACAATCCTTTTGTAATTGGTACTCTATTGCATTGATAAGACCTTTGGTTTTTCTTATAAATAGGACTTGAATACTCTCCTCTTGTGGTCTGGTCCGTGCTTATAATCCTAGCACTCTGGGAGACCAAGGCAGGAAGATCACAAGTTACAGTGCAGCTTGGACATCTTAGTAATATCCTGTCTCATAAAAAAAAAAAAAAAAAAAAAAAGAAAAGAAGAGAGAGGGA